GCTACGATAATGGCTACCAGGCAGATGAGACATTTGTCTCCCCATGGTTTATGGAGTACCTACCAGCAATACCAGATGGATTGTGGGCAGTACATTGGCCAACCATGGGTCTGAAATGATTGTGATCGGACGTGTTTGGCTAGAATTGTCTGTAGTAACTGACAAGTGACATTAGCTCGAATCACGTTAACTAGGGTGCCTTTGTTAATTGGACCCTATAAGAGTTAGACTGTGTGGATGTTGTCTGATGAGTTATGGTTCTAATTGTTTCATGTTGATGGTGGGATCTTCAATACATACAAACCCTATGAAGCTATGGACTCTCAGTTGTGTCAATAATATACTGCAGGTTGGTGGTAGGTTCATAAATGTGGGATGTGACATGGGTTGGGTTCTCTGGTCCACTTTCCACATCATTGACTATTAGCTGCTACATTACATCACATTGTAACCATTTTCATCCATATACAAACTCCATGTACTCTAACACTGATTGATTCTTCTAGCAGGATAAGTGTTGTTGGGCCCAAGTTCTGGATTTGATTTAAAGAAGATTCGAGAAAATTTTGATTGATGGTCTGGTTACTGTGCTTGCCCAACACGATCCCAAATAAACATTTATAGTATCTGATGGAGATGTCTATTTGCATGTAAGATCTGGCATCCTACAAAGATCAGGGAGATATGGACCTTCCCACCCCAATGTCTCCCATTCATTTGTGGAATTGATGTAATGTTGTTGTTAGTGGAATTGTAAGAATAGGTGCCTAGTATCATGTAAATAATCCTAGGCACCTAATCTATTACTTTACATAGGTCAGTGTATCTTAATTCACAATATTTTTTATATTTTATACTATTAGGTTGGTGCAAAAATAATGTTGTTTTTTTTTACGTTCAACTTAACGTCAAAAAACGACATTATTTTTGCACCAACCTAATAGAATTGATAATATTAGTTAATCAAATTATTTTCCTCCTTTTCAACTATTTTCTTTCATGTCCACTTCACGCCACACTGGAATAGAGGGGGAAGGATTTTGTATAACAGCTTTAGTGTACAAATTGGTAGTTAGATCCCCCTCTCCTCCAGGGCATGAGGAATCCTAGCCTCCAATTACTTTCATGGAATTATGCTGTAGCTGTATTTTGGAAACAAAAAATTTTTAATTTTTTTTTTTTAATTTTTTTAATTTTTTAAAAATAATTTTCGTAGTTTTATTATTTTTATTGTATAATTTTTGTATCCTACATTTTATTTTTTCTTTAAAAAATATTTTGATTTTTGTGTGATTGTGTGCTTATATACACATGAGAGGGTGCTGAAAAGTTATCAGGAAACCCTTCAGAAAGAAAGTTCTGATGTTTGGTCGTTTGATCAAGTTTTGTGAAGTGGTTGGGCTCAATAACATTTCAGTATCTCCTTGTATATATGTGTAGACAGTGTTTTGATATCTAAAATAATGGTAGTTTTATTTAAGTTATCAGCAATTTCTAATTTATTGGTAAGCTTTGTGTTCTCTTCTCAGGAAAGGAAAAAAAAAAAACATAAACTATGGGGTAGAATTTAATATTTTTATGATTTTTTTTTTTTTTAAGTAAGAGACCTTCTTTTCAGAGAAGGTGATATTAAAAGGTATGTGTTGTGTGGATGTGAGAGGAACTTAAGCAATTACTGAAATATATAGAGTGAAAAATTGTATAGAAGAGTTTTTGCGGTAGTAGAGGATGGGAGAAATTGCTCTGGCCATTAAAAACTCAAAACTTTTTGGGAGAGAAAATATGCTGCTGCTTAAAGAATTTCTGGTTGATGTTGCAGTCATGAAAAGAATTCTTTGAAGAACTAGTAATGTCTCTTCATTTACATAATTTATTCTGGTTGACAAAAATCCACTTGTGAAATATTCCATACAGTAAAGAATCATAATTCTTTATGACTCTCTTAGAAATTTATAATTGTTTCAAAACAAAACAAAAAGTTCTTGGGTTGGGGGTTTAAGAAACAAGTGCTTTATATTAAAGTTGTTTTTTCTTAGTCTGAGAGAATTCAGGGGATTATTTATAGTTTTGTTTCCCCTCTCAATTTTTAAAATCTGTGTGAATGTAAAAGGTAAATGGCTTTATTTTGCAGCTGACTAGAATATTCTTCTGGTTTTAAGTAAAAATTTAAAAAATCTCTATGCTTGTACAGGTTTTTCTCTATATCACATGAGCTTAAATCTTTCAAACCTTTTACCAGCATATTTTTGTCTTAAAAACATGAAAATGACTATAACAATATTAGATGATGTAAATGAACACATTTTAATAAATTTTCTATAGATTTATTTTTTTTGTTTCCTCTAATAAACTTTCAGGATCTTAAACTTTATCTGTTGCCTAAAGGATTATACATTGAAGATGTCAATGTGATAAGATGTGTAAAGTTTTGCCTCTTTAAACTCATATTCCAGGAACTCTTTTGGAAGAAGCACTTGTAAGGTTTATCATGCTATTTCTATAAGGGAGAGTGAACTTGACTCTTATCTTTTCCAAGAGCACCTATTTAACTTTTTATTTAACAAAGTTACAGTAATTCTGATTTGGAAAAAGGGTTGACTTGAAACATTTGACATAAGTAATGAAAATATGTCCAATTAAATTATTGTCTATTAATTCATAAACTTTTAAATTGCTTTGTTTGAATTTCGGATATGAAACTGAGCAGATGGGCCTTTTGAGAAGATCTGAACAAACAAGTGTGCACTAAAGACAAATAGAACCTTGCTTGATTGTGAAGCTTTTCATAGATAAGCAATTAAAGCACACCAGATAAGATGGTGTTTTTTTGTTTTTTTTTTTTCCTGCAAAGGAGGACACAAGTTCGATTCCTGCCAGAGGGTGCATTTTCATGAGTGTGCAGGCCAATAGACAAAATATTGTTTAAAAATAAAACCGGATGTCTAATCAAATACTGGTATCCACTAAAAAATAATGTTTGAAGTAATACAAATATATATATATATATATATATATATATATATATATATATATATATATATATATATATGTATATAAAATGTTGTTTTTAGTGGGTACTTTTATTTGAGTAGATACTCTGTTTATTTATTAAACCATATATTTAATCATGCTCATCTACTGGCCTGAATATTTTTTTTTTTTAAATCTTAGAGAAATATATGTAATCTAACCTTTTATTTTGTAACTTTTAATTTTGCGATTTTTGGCTTGAGAAAGTTTAATGTTTACTGATCCTTGATCTCTGTTCTAGTAGACATTTGAATATTTAAGATTTTAAATTGGCTGTTTTAATGAGTTTTATTTTAGACATTGTTTCAATTCATATGAACTTAAACAATTGCAAGCATCAAAAATTAGACCTAACCCCACACTGTCTTTTGTCCAAGCTATTCACAATATTTTTACCATGTTGCTCAAATTTATATCTTTATAAACCCTTGGAGATTTTATATATATATATATATAAACTTAATTTTACAGTAAACCTAACAACTGTATAAAAATAAAGGCTGTATATGACTAGAGAGAAGCGGCTACTTTGGCTATATATATATATATATATATATATATATATATAATTTTTGGTTTATTTGTTTGGACATTATTTTTAGATGGTTACTCATATTTGACTAGATGTTCTGTTTTTAGTTATTTATCTGGCAGGAGGGTACATCTTTTTAAATATTTCTCAAACTTTCAGGCCGGTAGATGTAAATAAATATACTATTTAATAAATAACTAAAACCAGTACATCTACTCAAATATGAGTATCCGTCTAGAAATAAATTAGAAATATGTCAGTTAATCCATTTGCTAAAATATATGGGGTATGTATGTATGTATGTATGTTATATATATAAAACAATTGTTAAATAAGTTTTATTTCTGAGTTTTTGTTCTTTTGATCCCCCCCGTGGAATTAATAATTTTTTTTTTTGTGGGGTTTTAACTTTTTTTCTTAGTACCACTGCACTTATTTTCTCTTAATCCCCCGACACCTGTTCATTCTTTGTAATAATGTCAATTCATCTAAAGTTAACAATTCTTGTAAATTTTTTATATATTCAGACTGCTACTTCATCCTTTGTGTTTTATCTCTGCATTCACTACATGCACACATACACACGAAACAAACATGCATCTATTAAGATCCTACATATGATGTCTAGAATAATTGGCTAGATAGTAAAAGCAAGGAAGAATGAAGAAAAATTAAGAATAGATTTAAAATGAATTTGGTGTACTCCATAGATTTGGCACCAGACCAGTTTTGTTCAATTTATTTAAAGTCCTATTGATTATTTGAAAACTAAATTGTAAATTTAGACTAATTAAATATGTTAACAACACACCACACACAAAGTGTAGCATTAATGTTATTGGTTAAAGATTTTTTTTTTCTGAGGCCTTATTATATATGAACATGTTTATAGCTTTATACACTTTAATATTAAATGTTACCATAAATTAACAAAATTGATCTTTTGAAGACAATCTAAAAGAATTAGCAGTCTGACTAAAACAAATATAGATTCTATTATAAGATTACATTAAAAATGGATTGTAGGCTATTGCTTTTATGCCTTTTTTTCTTAATATTTTTAATAATCACCATTTTAACTGTATGGTTTGTACACTTTTTTTTCTTTTTTTTTTTAATGGCTTGTCAAGTATTTGTCATGGCTTGTAAGCAGGACAAAAAAAATTACCAATTATTGGCACCATCAGCTTTCATTTCTTCACTTCTAGCTTAAAAATACCAACTTCATTTTCCATACATTATTTTTGTTGAGCAATAAAGTTTAGATTGTAAATTTTCCTTTAAGGTAAGACTATTGTGATTGGTATTATTTTTTTTTTTTTTTTTTTTGTCCCAGTTTCAAACATTATTTTTGAGATTTTTGCTTTTCTTTGGCAATCTTCTGGACCACTTACCCCTACCCACATCTAAACTTCTCATCTTTGGCCCTCCAACCTAGTCCCCCATTATCTGTTCTCTTTCATTCCAGTCTGTGGTTCAAGATCCTTTACTTTCACTTTACTTGCTCTGTATATATATTTTTTTTTTTTTTTTTTTTTTTTTATATTTTATTTATTTTCTCTCTCTCTCTCTCCCCCTCTCTCTCTCTCTCTCTCTCTCACCCCTCTCTCTCTCTCTCTCTCTCTCTCTCTCTCTGCCCCCTCTCTCTCTCTCTCTGCCCTGCCTCTCTCTCTCTCTCTCTCTCTCTCTCTCTCTGCCCCTCTCTCTCTCTCTCTCTGCCCTACTCTCTCTCTCTCTGCCCCTCTCTCTCTCTCTCTGCCCCTCTCTCTCTCTCTCTGCCCCCTCTCTCTCTCTCTCTCTCTCTTCTCTCTCTCTCTCTCTCTCTCTCTCTCTCTCTCTCTCTCTCTGCCCCTCTCTCTCTCTCTCTCTGCCCTCTCTCTCTCTCTCTCTGCCCCTCTCTCTCTCTCTCTCTCTCTCTGCCTCTCTCTCTCTCTCTCTCTGCCCCTACTCTCTCTCTCTCTCTTTGCCCCCAAAATCTCTTGCTGCCCCTCAATATCTCTCTCTCTATCTCTCTCTTTGCCCTCCTTTTATATATTATTTATTTGTCCCTTTATCTCTCTCTCTCTCTCTCTCTCTCTCAAGAAATGAATTAAGAAATGAGAGCTCAACCTCTCCTTGAAAATTTGTATTTATGAACATTTTTTTGGTAAGCTTGCAGGAAATCGTCTTTCTCTTTGAATTGTATTAAGTTACAAAAATAGTACACTTACTTGAGGGAAGTAAATATCTTTTATCTTATTAAGGGTGTACGTTTTGGAAGCATTCTCTATACGTAAGAGAAAAATAGTTTAAATGTACTTTTATGAACTTATTTCTGTTAATTTAAAAAAAAAAACAAAAAAAACATTTAGATAATTCCCCTCCACATTTGAGATAAAAATTAAAAAAAAAAAAAAAAAAAATAACACAATAATTGAAACACCTCCACTGTATTTTAAAACCCGATGAAGTCTACTAGAATGGGTTTTCCAAAAATGTATTTGGAAATCTCCCAAAATATACAAATCCCCAGTTCCCACTAAAAACAAAAGATAAAAATCATGGCATGTGCTTTAGCCTTATGCTCAGCTCTTTAACTTTTCAAAAAAATTCTTGTGCAAGCATGTTTTAATTTCTTTCAGTCCTTGTTAAAAAGGAAAAAAAGGGAGGGTTGGAGAGGGGGGGTAATCTTTTGGATTACATATATCTAACGCATTTTTTTTTTTTTTTTTTATTATTATTATTATTATTATTATTATCAAATTCTTCCAAAAGATTTTAATTGTCAATAATAAAGAAAATATTTAGAAATTAAGATATTTGCCTTGTATATTCTGATCTTAGCTACAGAACCCCACAAGTTTTTCATATCATTACTTCGGGTTCTGATGTTGGTCAGGCTTTAGTATCAGGTGTGAGTTCAGTTCTGTAGGTGGGCCCTACTTGTTTTAAAATTAGGTATTATTTGAATTTAAAAAAAAAAAAAAAAAAAAAAACCTTTATATGTGGATTTTTGAATTTTTCAACACTGGATTTAGTGCATGTTTTAAATACAAAGTAAAAACTATATAAGAATTATCAGTTAAAGAATTCTTTTAATATTCTTGATCTAATTTTTAAGATTTACAAATTGAATTTTATTCTAATAAATCATTAATATATAATAATATTTCAAATATTCTACCTAAAATAACACTTAACTGTATTTACTTTTTAACCAACCTCATAACTCGTTTCCATCAGTTTTGCTATGCTTGAATGTCAGAAACACAAACACGCTATTACTGCTTAAAATATTCCCTTATTCCTTACCCAACACCACCCAGCTTGATATTAAAATTGCACTCTTAGTGCTCATATAATGTTTGTTTATATACGTATATAATACATAATCTTTTAATATACACACTCATATATTGGCTTGGTCATGTTTTTAATGTAAGATTTTAAAATAACATTTATAATAAACACTTGTTTTTATTTTATCTAATTTTCTCTTTATTTCTTTTTTTTTTTTTTTTCTTTTAATATTTTCCATTGATTTCAGTCCAAGCCTTTTTATTTTTTTTTTTTTTTTTTTTTTTTTTTTACTTTTTTAATATTTTATTTGTTTTGGAAATAAAAAGTATCACATAGATTTCTAAAGAACATGCACACTTATTTTGTTATAGACTTGAGTTGAATACTGTATATAATTTAAAAAAAAAAAAAAAAGGTTATGACATGGAAGACACCCTTACATTCTATAAGGGAATTGAAAGATTAGTAACTTTCTAATTTTATAATATATTTTTATTTTTATTTTTTTTCAAAAGATGTCTCAAGACAGGGAAAAGAGCGAGACTATAAAGGTAGGCCCCTTAATATTGTAAATCATTAATCTCTTAGTGATCAGTAAAAAAAAAAAAAAAAATAAATAAATAAAAAAAATCGTTTTTTACTTGGTCTCATATTATGAATATGCATTTTTAAAAATTGAGCAGCAGTCTTTTCAAGGTAGTAGAAAAACACAGCAACCCACATTGATAAATTTTAATAAGAGCAAAACGTCACTACAAAAAATCGCTCATCACTAGTTATTTCCCGTCTTGAGAGAACAACTTAATGACAAATATGGATTTGAGATAGAATTTCTAATATTTTATTGGAAAGTCTAAATGTAAAGCTGTATTATTATAAAAAAATTCATCTGTGGGTTTCATGTTTTTCTCAAGCCCCAAATAGATTAATGCTGTTAAATTTTTAAATAAGGCACATTTGAAGTATGAAAGCATGGTAAAAAATGATTTTTTTTTTTTTTTTTTTTAAAAAAAAAAAAAAAAAAAAAAAAATCTCAGTTCATCTGCTGACAAGACTGCTTGTTTAATCTATTAAAAAAAAAAAAAAAAAATTCTAAAAATTTAGCTGCATTTTTCTTCATTGGCTAGCTATCTTGCTTCTTTACCTCTCACTTACCTCCCTTTTTTTATTTAATTTTGTTACTTATCAACTTCAGATAGATAGATGTGTGTGCGTGCGCACGCAGTGATATGCATGTCTAAGTTAAAACATCAATGTCCAACATAATCAGTTCAGTTACAAATGAACTATAAAAAAAAAGGATTCTTAATTTGACAATCCTCTTCTATTGTAAAGAGTGAAAAATATACCCAAGTCATGATAATGCATGGATTAATCTGGAAAGCGTGAAGGATCATAATCACTGGATTCCTTGGCTATGCTACAATACGCTGTTTTGAAAGAAAAGCACAATGGTAATGCTTGCTTGGAAATATGGATATTTTGAAGCATGACAGAACTGATAAGAATCCCAGATTGTCAAGAATACTGTCTGCAATAAAGAATAAAATAGTTAAAAATGGCTCCCAAATGTTTGCTTATTATTCCATATTAGTCTCCTCCCCCACCCTTTAAAAAAAATCCCTTTTCTTTTGTATCTTGATGCAACAAGTTCCATAAAGGTGTTATGTTACAAAAAAGTTAAAAAAGATCAGTGACTTTGTCAACATTTGGCAAGTGTAACTTTGTTTTTATACAGTAATTATAATCATTTAATAGACTTGCATGTGTTTATGAATTGCCTGCACTTATTAGTATGGGTTCAATGGTTTGAACATTGCACTAAAGACTTTGAGATCTGACATTTTTATTCATTTATTTATTTATTTATTTTTTTTGTACCCTGGTATCAGGTATGTTGAGTTTGTTACCACAACTCACAAGAAGTTATGTTGAAACCTGAATAAAGCAAAAGACTTTGTTACTGCAGAAGGACCTGTCAAGTGGCCACAATTTAGGAAAATATTATTACCTGGGAGGAAAATGTCTACAGAGGAATACAATCATCAATACCAGTTTGTTCATTAACCCATTGTATTAATAAAAAACAAAAGATTTTATTCAGCCTAATGGATATAATTCTGAATAGTCTCCTAAAATTTATTTTGAGTCACTGGAAAAAAAAAAAAAAAAATTACATGTCTTGGTACAGTGGGTTAATGATGTACATGCATATCTATATGGCTTTACATATTATTGTAATGAAGAACATGTATGGCTGTACATGCATTTATCTATCTTGAAATCTAAGCAGTGTTAAAAAAATTATGCTGGTAGTTAATGATTAACATGAATTATTTGCTGGCTTGTCATTTGATGGAATGAAATGGTGATGGTGGCAAGAAATTTTAATGTTTGGTTCATTATCTGAGAGATGAGGTATTGCTACTAGCATTAATGAGCTTATTAGGACTAATATCCTCATCATTGTTCTCTTTAGCAATTAATGTTTTGGTTGGTTTGCCCTCCAATCATCAACTTTGGGCTTGATATAAAGAAAACTTACTGTTGCTGTTTTTGTTAACTTAAAGAAAATACTATTTGCATGCAAATTTGTATCTTAGTTGGTTTAGTCTAGTTCATATGTTTATAGATAGCAACAAAAGGTTTTTTTTTCTTTTCTTTTTTTTTTCTTTTTTTTTTTTTTTTTTTTTTTTTTTTTTTTTTTTTTTTTTTTTTTTTTTTTTTTTTTTTTTTTTTTTTTTTTTCTTTTTTTTTTTCTTTCTTCTTTTTTTTGATCTTTCCATTATAGCCAAAAAGCTTGTCATCCCAAAAAGTTCTTAAGGTGTTGCAGTCTAGAAAACTATTCATGATTTGTTTCTTGATATTAAGCGTGGCTTAGAATGCCATAAAATCAAATAGAGAGTGGGAGATATATGTTACTAAGTGAAGAAAATTTACCTACCCAGAAAATTAGCATGACACTAATAGAGAATGCATAAATATTTCATTTACAAGTTTTTCTATATTCTACATATACTGATAGGCTGGGAAATTGTAATTGTGTTTTTTTTATATATATATATATATATATATATATATATATAAATTAATTTCGTATATTTTAAGGGAAGAGTACTCCATATCGGAGAAAGAGCGTTTATAGATATATAGATGATGTGAACATAGGAATCAACACTGCCTGGTGAGCCAGTTTCACTCTTCAATGCCGATTTTTCAGACCAGATCTGGTCTTTGTCTTGTACATCATACACATGGTCAGAGGAAAAAACCTTTACATAATAGACATTTATTCCACGGAGATTTTAAGTCGAGTCTTTCAACTACTGAGTGCTGCTAATTTTATCTGTCAACCTTGTAAATCAAATACTGTTTTGTAGAAGTAATGTAAATGTTTGAGACAAGTTTAGATTATATATTGAAAAAAATAAAATTCTTTTTTATAAAAGGAAATATCTATTGAGATATCATGATACATAGTTTTTATATCAAAGACAGATGCATGTATTTTGAAGATATTTTGTAACAATTGCCCATATTATCACCTTGTGAAGGTTGGAGGGCATATTACTTGAAACATTTATGTGAATATTAGTCTTAAAGTCTGAGATGCTAATTACATTTTTTTTTCTCTTTAAAAAAAAGCAATGGTGTTAAGGTGCAAAGTTTCTTTTTGCTTTGTTTCATGTTTTTTTTTTTTTTTTCTTTTGCTTTTTATCATCATCATCACCTTACTTCTAGTTGGTATACATGCACATATAGATAATCGCCTGCATTTTTCTAGTCTCTCTCTAAGAACTTCTTCAACCCACTT